TCTCCTTCTTCCAAGCAAAAGTCCGCTACTCTCAACAGTCGTTTTTCCCCTGTCAGCCGGACTATCTCATCCCACTTTTCTTCTTCTACCAGACGCACCAGTTCGCCTAACTGTGCATCTTCTCTCAGTTCCTTTAGCCACTTCGTGTCATTCTTAGCCGCTACTACATTTACCACTGCTTCGTTCCATCCCCCCAGGGAGTCTGACGCTGCTGACGTCGCGATCCCTCTGCTAAGGGCATCGGCGACAACGTTGGCCTTACCCTTGACGTACTGAATTTCTAAGTTATATCTCTGCAACTCTAGAGACCATCTCAGTACACGGGTCGATACATTGCTTCGTCTGAATAGGGCTGTCAATGGTTGATGATCTGTCATGACCACTACCGGCAATCCATAGATGAACATGTGAAACCTACGGACCGCGAAGACGACCGCTAACGCCTCCAATCTGTCACGTGGTATCTGCGCTCAGCTTTGCTGAGGCTCTTTGACGCGAAAAAAATCGGATGTATCTGTTTGTCCACTCCCTCCTGGGATAACACCGCGCCTAGTCCGTACATGGAGGCATCTGTACATATCAAAAAGGGTCTACTACCATTTCGAGCGGCCTCCACATCTGGTTGGTTTAGCACCGGAGCCGAACTGATCATATCCTTTACTTTTTCGAATGCTTCTTGATGCTCCTTTTGCCATGACCACCTAGTCTTCGGTGACGTCAAACTGAACAGAGATCCTGCTTGCTTGGAAAAACCTAAGCAGAACTTCCTGTAGAAAGGAGGCCATCCCTAAGAAAGTTCGTAGCTCTTTACTAGTCTTTGGCGTGGGGTAATTTCTGATGGCAGCGATTTTTTCCGGATCCATGTGAACTCCTTGTCCGTCGACAACATGTCCCAAAAAGGTAACTTTACGCCTGAGAAGATAGCACTTCTGTGCTTTCAAACGTAGGCCTGCTGCCTTCAGCCTTGAGAACACCTCTCCTAGAAGCTCAAGATGACGTTCCTTCGTTGATGTGCATACCATTATATCGTTCGATGTAGCAGAAGACCTCATTGCCAAGAAGATTTCCTAAGACAGAGTCCATCAGTCTCTGGAACACCGCCGGACTCGTACTCAGACCAAACGGCGTGACTTTGAACTGGAAAAGACCGTCCGGTGTTACGAATGCAGACTTTTCCTTGGCTTCCTCCGCTAAGGGGATCTGCCAATATCCGCTGCACAGGTCTAACGTCGAGAAAAACTCTTTCCCTGCGAGACTTTGCAAGACAGCTTCAATGTTTGGAAGTGGATAGGCGTCTAATTTATTCTTTTGTTGAGTTCCCTATAGTCCACACACAATCGAATGGAACCATCTTTTTTCTCAACTAGAACTATAGGGAAGGCCCACTCCGACTTGCTCTTTTCGATTATATTCCTATCTAGTAAGTCTGTCAAAAGCTCTTTCAATTTCGGTCTGATTCCTAACGGAACGGGTCTTGCTTTCATTTTTATAGGGCTACTGTCTCCCGTATCGATAGTCATTTCTGCCATATCTGTCTGAGAAAGTTCTCTCTCACACACTGCAAACGCATCCGAATGTAATGTTAGCAAATGCCGTATGCCTTCATCTAGATGCCCTGCTTCTGTGTTTATTTCAATCAGTTCTGTTAGTCTTTCCAGTCTTTCTTGTCCTTGCCACATGTGTTCTCCATTATCCATCTTCAGTGGGTTGAGTTCTTCCCATCGCTGATGCCACTTGTCGGTGCCCCAGCGCCCTACCTCTTCGCCTTGCTTGAGGACCAGCCCTTCATCACTATTATTGAAGACAGGCACAACCGCTTCCTGATTTCGGATACTGTACACGCCGGCTGCTACCCCCTCCTTGGTAGGCCAAATCACTCGCTCCACCTCTTCCAAACGGTCACCACTGCATAGCACTGATACGAGCGCGACCCTACGAGGCGGTACATACACACGCTCCTTCACTGGTCACATCTCCTCTGTCCTCTTCTTTTCTCTGTTGTATCTTTCCCTCTTGGTTTCCGATTATGGAAACTTCGATTCCCAACCTACCAAGAGCATTGGTGCCCAATATGATTTCCTCTTCCTTTCCCTTACTGATGTGAAAGGCGACTCTCTCCCGATTTCCTCCATGCAGTTCGGTTTCTACTATGACTGCTCCCAGAAAGTGCATTCTATTTCCTGATGCATCAAAGACGGGGCTGAGACTTGACTCCTCTACCAACTCCAGAGCATCCACATCGTACCCACTGTCCTGAGCCTTCCTTAGTATGTCGACCGGTAAGATGCTAATCATTGATCCAGTGTCTACCAGTGCCTGATTCTCTCTATCCAACAAATTTATTGATACCACAACGCGATCTCCAATTAGAGCACTTCTCTTGACTCTTGCATTCTTCACTGCCATACCTAGGCTTCGCGCTTGTTCGATTATTCTGGACACCGTAGCCTTCTCTTTTACCTGCGCTTGTTCCTTGTGTCCGATCTGGTTTACCCTAGCCTTTCTTTGCGGGCAGTCGCGGCTAATGTGTCCGTACCTCGAGCAGCTATAGCATTTCTTGCTCTCGCTAGTGCCCTGGCTTGGCATAGTCTTATTGGAGCGATGAGGCGCGTGTGCACTGTCATGGAGTCCCCTGTCCTCCAGTCCGTGCACCTCGCTTCTAGGTGACACCTGTCTCCCAAGATCCCTTGGATGATCAAATTCCCTGTCCGCTCTGTTCTCGCGATAATGTGCGGACCTATTCTTCCAGCTTGCCCCAGCCGCCCTCCTATTGGCAGCTAGCATGAGCTTCGACTGCTCTATGCTTAAGGCTAATTGCTTAACTTCGTTGTAAGCCCTATGCGGCTCTACCTTATGCAGCGCGCCTACCAATTGGAAATGCTCCGGCCATCCGGCCAGGTTGTCCAAGAGTATTTGCGCGTACTCCAGTGAGCGCTCCTCCATCGCGGCTCCCGGGTTTGCCTGCTGACCCAGTCTTTCTAGTACAACACAAAATTCAGCGACGTCCTGGTTCGGGCGCATCCTCAAGTTCCGTAACTCTGTCAGAGCTCTTAACCTGCCCGCGGTGGAATCTTGTGCTAGCAATCTAGCCATCTCATCCACGACTACGCTGAACCCTTGCTCCTTCACACTCCTCGGGAGCGCCATGTATATGTTTTTCGCTCTACCTGCTAAGTGATCGTCCCCTAATATGTCTACTAGGGTTGCCTCACAACTCACTACTTCTTCGTACTTTCTTTTAAACTTTCTTATGAACTCGTTAAAGTTCTCATTCCTAGAACCCTTGAACACACCTGGGTCGCTACACGCCATCGCTCTCAAATACGTTACTAACTGAGAAGCAACCGTACCTGATCTGTCTTCGACCCATTCCTCCCTCGCTGGGTTCCCCGAATGTTGCTTCAAGACTTCGACAGACGTCCGTCCAGTCGAACACGTTGTCTCCTGCAACACATCTCTATGAGCAATGTCTGTGTGCTCAAGCCTCACAGGTAGCATCTCGTTCGCCCCACCTTTATCGAGTGCCTCTTTGCTCTTCACGACTGCTTGCAATTTTTCGACTTCCTTCTTGACCTGTAACACATCAGTGTTTAAGATGTCACATATGTCTGCCAAGACCTCCCCATCTCTCTCCATAGTCTCTATGTAATCTCTCCAATCGTCCCTCGATTCAATTCCTCTCGACACTAAGGTCATGCTAATATCCGTCATCAAATCGTCCCGATACTTAGACTCATTTGACCCTTCGTTCACGCTTTCCTCTATCCTCTTCATGCTGACTTGGAACTCCTTCTCAATCTCACTCCTTTTTTCCCTCGATATACGCGACTCGTACAACAATTCGTTCACCCTTTTGTGCAACAGACTCACCACTCTGATGAACTTCTCTTTTCTAACTACACCCTCTTGAAAACACGGCAAAACTTGCGCTCGTACCTGTACTGCGGGGGGCCTATTCTCCGCCCAGCTCCATTGGCCTTGGGTTCACTCGACGAAAGGGAATCTCTAGAAGATAAGACATTGAGATCTTCCTCCATAGTCACAATACCGCTGACTCCGTAGGCAACGGTAGGTTCTCTCTTTCTCGTTTGGTGGCTCCTGCTTACGCCACTTTACTTAGGCCTGACTACCCTTGCCTCTCGTAGTCACGGCACAACACAACAACGACGGCAATACCGCGAAAACACACAAAACGACGTAAAAGTCAAGATGCGGTAGATACTACTCAGTGCCTAGGCTGTTCCTTGGCACCGACTCACTACTAATCAATAATCAATATCGCGTCGAAATGCGGGCAGCAGTAGGCTTCCAACGAATGTCAGATCACGACCGGTTCGGCCCCCATGTACGAGTAACAAAGAATCGTGATCGACGATATTCGTGGGTTACACCACTAACTGCAAGGTAGACGAGTACGAACGATATTTATTAAAAAAAACGAACAGAACACAACCAACAAGAAAAAGGAATCGATCCGCGTGTAATGAGAGATCAGTCGAGTATTAGACGAGATGAGCAGTTGATCCGCAAGGCACGAAACCCACAACGCGAGGCGCAGAGTTCAAGCGGTACGAATCGAAACTTTCCCTACGACCGGGCTTCCCTGCTTTGACCGCGGTCTCCAAAACAACTCAGCTAATGAAAGGCCGATGAATGAAAGGCCCACAGGGGTGCGACAGTCTAAAGCCACAAAGGCACAGTCCACTAAGGAGCCACTAAGGCACAATCAGCTAATAGCCACAAAGGCAGTCACGACGTGGCCACGTAGGCCCTAATAGAGAAAGAAGAACGAATAGACTGCTGGTCTCCTCTATGCTTAAATACCACTATGTACGCGCGCGATCACTTTCTGTATTATCGATTATCGGTGACTTAGTTGGTCACCTGCAGGGCTCTACGCTTTGCGGGGCGCCTTTCGGGTCCGCTTATCTCGTCCCTCTTATCTGACACGCGCTTCAATCTCCGCTATAATCATACATTATTGCTACGAAAGCAGGGCTCAAAAATCGGGTCTTCCTGGCTCTGCTTATCGCCCGTCAGTAGTTGGCGCTAAGTGGTCCCGTCAAGTGGTCATCGCTTGTCGGCTCCGGACAGATGCATGAGCTCAGAATTGCCTGTCTATAAGAAATCCCCAGGGAAGACGAGACAGCTTCACTTTGGGGCTTACCTTCCGTTTGACCCGCAGATCAAATGGGGGCGACCGTATTTGCGATTTTTTTTTGAAAGTGAGGGGGAGGAGGAGTGGGAGTTGTATTCAATGATTTCTTCCAAAAAATTCGAAAGTAGTTTGTGGATGGCCTCTTCACGTTTGAAGGTTGGTTGGGGGGGGGGTTATATCGAGACGGCGACACTGATGCTGTACCACCTCCGCTGGTCTGATAGATACTTATGTGGCATGAATTATGCACGGACCGGGAACGGATACAGGTTTTCGGTGTTTGCTATTTAGGAGTGGCGCACTGGCAAAATTTGTCATTCAGGTGCATTCAACACGGAGGGCGGGACACTTCTGCGACGCTTGCCCCACAATTCGCATCAGCACTGCTTGGCTTACTGCATTCCAATCATGGTGTTATGATAGGAAAACTGCTGCAAGTTCATTCAATAGCTTACATTATAGAACAGATTTCGCTTAGGCTTAAATCCCGGGGTTTACCTGCCTATGTTTCTTCGAAGGGATGTATTCAGTCACCAGCATGTTCCTAGATGTCAGACATTCCATTATGAGCGCTGCCAGGCAGCACGTAGAGCCACATACATTGATTGCACGCCTTCTATTAAAAAAGTGTGTATGTATGACGAAATCCAACTGAGTGTATGACTCAGGCCATATTTCGCTTTTATTCCTCGGGTTCTTTACGTTGCTGCGAAAGCTGGCACACTAAATCGCATGGAACTTCCTGTCTTAAAGGACGAATTCACGCCTTTTTTGAAATATACGAGTTCTAGAACATTTACAGTCCGGACGAACATTTTGAAAAACTCACAGTACGGTTTTGTGGCAGAAAACTGTGTCCCGAGTCTTGGCAAGCGACGGACTCCCGCGCAAGCATGATTTGAGCGGGAATCTGGGAGAAGTGAGAAGTGCATGGCGCATCCAATAGAGATTGACAGACGTCAATGCTCTACTGCGTTCATGGTCTAATTGTTCGGAATCAGTAGGGTTACATAATACCAGTATGAGAAGATTTTAAAAAGTCCGAGCGATAAACGAACCTTCACCTACATTTAAAGATTTGTCAAATAGCACTCACAGGCAGGTTCAACCCTAACGTTCACCCTTTTCTAAAAATTGTATGACCCCCCAATTTTTGGAGAGTCTTGAAAGGACATCCATCACCACAACCGCTTTTGGGAAATCCCCTCTTACGATTTTTCACCCATAACCTGTGACCACCCGACATCATCATGGCCCGTCTTTACGAGTATTTGATTATGTTACCACGACGCGCTCTACACGCGCCCACTTGCTTCTCCTCCTACACGCGCCAAGCGGGGGGGAGGGGGGGGGAGGGGCCTCACTAATCAAATTGCAACCACAATACGATCCCTTACTTTGTAGACATCCGGACAGTATGATTGCTGGTCCAGGTGTAAAGTGAGGGGAACTACCCGCAATTCCAGAAACACAGTCAAACGGGGTGAGTGAGCCTTATATGAATCTTCGGAAGGCGCCACCTACGACAATATACAATTAATCAGGCTTACCGATGGAAAGTGCTAATCACCGTTGCCACATCGACCGGCAGCAGAACAGAGAGTAGTACTCGTTTTCAATGAAATCTGTATATTTGTTCCTTTAAGGTTTTAATACTCAAGCATAAAAACGGTCAACGAAAATTGGAAATGAGGCGCTCCCGCTTTTTACGTTTCTCATTTTATACGAGAAAGCTTGTTATTCGGTCAGCAAGAAGTCTCCTCACCTTCCATGAAGGGGATCTTCCATGAAAAGTCCACCTCATTGTGCACCGAGAATTATTCGATTTGAATTTTCTTCGAAAATTCAAATCGAATATGTGCGTGACTCGAAAGAAGTAAGGTTTCTTTCAGTTTAAACTCTAACAGTTAATAGTATGTGAAATGGTATGCAGCTGCCATATAGATTGCCATGCACATGCCTCTGATTGTTAGTAAGCAAATTCTCATTTGCTCATGGAGATGCTTCATCTTCGCAACATCTGTCCGGTGGGGCTATAAAGCGGTGCTTGCTGGTCCTATTCAACCGCTTGAGCAGCTCCCACCATAGTTTCACAGAACGACACCTTTTTTGGCGGAGAAAATTTATGCATGCTCTTATGCATTCTATATATTGTAGGGATTCTGCATCGGAATGAGGTCACAAGGCATATCGACAGCAACAACTGATGTCAAAAAAAGAGAAAAGGAGAACAACAAAGAAAGTTTGTAATCATTAGTTCCGCTATCTAAATGTTGTGTTCGTTGAACTATTGCGACTGCATTCCGTTCCACTTTGTGTACAGGCTTTTTTGTGCTCCAGAGTTTACCTTCATCTCACACTGTGTACTCAATTAATGGCGCCCTGTAGGAACACACTAATCCTCTTTTTTTCTTAGTCATAACAAACCGTTCATGTTTGTGAACCACTACTTGAATGTCGGTGCATTGGTAAATTTGCTGCAAACTGAGGATTTCGCCCAAGGGGAAGGGCAATGACATTGCATCGGAGATAAACTGTGCAGGCGAATGGGTTTGACCCTTTTAGACCTGAGCTGTTTTCCGCGAGGAAAAACAATTTCTTACTAAATTTTGTGTGCTTGTGAGCGCATAGAAAAACGAATTCTGGAATCGCAAATCTTAAATCGCAAATCGTGTAACTAGCGAGCTATAAAAATTTCGCTTCCTAGTCTTTCTGTTTATGTGAAAAAATTCCCATGTTCCTGGCTCGTTGAAAAGTGTGGCCTTGCGCATTTTTACTACGTACTTCACGGTTTTTTTATAGTTTTGATAACAATGTGAATATATTTCAAGTGTTTTGGAATAATTGACGCTTACCGTTGCTGACTGAGACAGCGCGATTTATTATTGCATTTACACACAATTATTGGCTTGGAGCATAACATCATAGCGTTTTTTTCGAACCACAAACTCA